ACGGCAGAATTTGGAGAAAGAAAAGGAAAAGACTATTAGACCTTCGCCATTTTTCCCCGTTTTCGGGGAATTGCGAAAAATAATTTTCTTTTTCTTTTTTACAATATTCGCGATTATCCAACAACACCCTGATTTTGGTCGACCATTTTGAAAAGTAACGAGAAACTGGTCAAGTTTACGAGAAAATATATGCATACGGTCCATCATAAAGGTAAAAACATAGGATTTTAATTTGGTTGGGGAAATCGTTGTCAACAGGTTCTTCAAACATGGAAACAATTTAGAGTAAGGTGTCTATAGCTTTTGAATGACTTGATCAACGAAACTTCAAGAGGATTATCTTCGAAATTTGTATGCAGTCATAAATCCTAGAGACGCGGGATAAGAAATAATATTCCCGATAAAATATACTTCCTTTTGTTTTCTTCTGAAATTAATTCAGTGCCTTCCCGGCTTGATTTTCACCGGTTTGAGGTGAATTTTCATTGTCATTACACCCGCTTTGAGTACTGTTTTTGTGGAATTTTAGTTTTGTAGTTTTCATTTTTAATTCTCTTCTAATTTTCTGAGGGTTATCCCGCAGTTCCGCGCGAAGGTGGATACAGTATTTCGAACTTCATTGAAAATAAATCCATGATTTTCACAGTGTTTTTTTTTGCGTCTGGTATTTTCTTCAGATTTTTGTCGATTCATTGAATCTGTTCTTTTTTTTACGAAGTATATGATCCCGCGTAGAACTGGGACAGCCCTCGTACGTCTGTTTTCGGCTCCGCGTTTCATTCGAATATGCGTCTCATTTTGGATCCAAGAAATTTCCACTTTGAGTGATGCATGACTAAGCTTCTTTTTTTTTTAGGGGAACTTTACCGGACAGTCCACCCGATTCTGGATCAGAAGCATTTTCTCCACAAGATTCTGAACCATTCAGAATCGTACGAGGTCCATTGACTGCAGGTTCGTATAGTTGTACATNTATATTTAAAACTGATTTTTTAAATATACGGTATATATATGTATATATATATATATTTTTTAAAGACATTTTTTAAATGACGACATGCTGAGATGCTGTTATTGAAATTGATAAAGAGCGCACACTGGAAAACTTTTTCAAGACTAAGGACTGGTCAAAACCCTCAGGAAGTCCGAAAACTAGCAGAGGCAGCTAGTTTTGTGTCGAAACGTGTGACATTTTTTCTGTAAAGTTGTATAAGGGTTAAATCAATGGAAACAAGATTGAAATTCAGTCTTCAATATTTGGAAGTGAGTGAAATGAGCATTTATTTAATGTGTTATCCGCTGTACCGTCTACTAATCCAGGGGAATTTCGGTCGAAATATCGGTTTAAAATTCTATTATGCACGTACAGTACTGTATATCGGTTATATATAACACATCCAGGCTTCATTTAATTTATTTTTCTAATCTACTGTACAAATACTGTACTCACACTACAGTACCACATCTAAAATTTTATCCGCCTATGAGTTTTTTGTTTTGTTTTTTGTCATACACTACAAAAGCAGTGGGTCAAGTTGGGTCGAATCATTTGGTGACTACTCCTGCTTCATGACATTCAATTTTTCTCATTCAGTACGTGATACAACACAAACGATTTTATGGCCATATTTTTTTCTGTGATTTTTTCCCTGTTACGTTTTCCCACGAAAAATACTTCAACCCCAGATTTAATTTTTCCTCGGTTTTTCGATTCAAGAACGCAGTGGTAATCCTTCCTTTAGTTGTTCAATTGAGATTTCCTGGTCATTTTTTCTTCCATTAAATTGAATGATCCAGAGGAGTGTTTTTTAATATTTTAATTTTTATTGAATACTTCAGCATTTACGTTTTGATCTGTTGACTAATTGTTGGTGCATTCGTTGGCTTCGATGCAATTGAGGTTTTCAAATTTTTTTCCGGACTTCGCTATCCCGTGGTATTTTTCCAAATCCCTGAACGACCCTTGCTAAAGCATCTCACCTGTAGTTAATTGTTCCTGGAAGGGCAGCCCGGATAATTGAAATTCTTTTCCTAATTATATTTACAGGTTTTTCTCTGATGCGTTCGGGAACGAAATCGTCGGTGAAGCCTCGGGTTCGGTGAACTCAGGGACTACGATCCTTCCGACCGGAAGCGTTTCCTACGGCCACCAGACGTCGGATCATCAGTTCCGGATTTCGTTGCAGCAGCACAGGTCCCCGGACTCGGAAGCTTCCAGGGAATTGCACAACCTGGAGCTGCCGAATCCGAACCCGCACCAACAGGGAACCGTTTTGTTGGCGTCTGCTGGGCCTGGGCCGGGTCAGCAGCAAGGTGCCGCCGGTGTGAGCTGTGTTGAGGTGTCGAAGCCCAATTCCGTCGCGGGAAGGAGTGTCAAGGACTCGGCGGAAAAATCAGTACCAACGTAAGTACTTGCTCATGAAAATTTGGTACTGTCTTTACAAGAGTATTACAGGCCACATACACAAACACACGTGTGTACTGTGCAGTAAAAGTCACACCTTTCGCGGGATGAAACTTTAAAAAAAAAATTAGAAGGCAGTTCGGTTGACAGAAGGTTTACTATTTTGGCGAATATCCGTCCAAAATTATCGTTGCTCACGGAAAATTATAAAATTGCTCAGCTGAATGCACAATATTTTATGATGATGATAAAAATATAATTATTACATGCTTTTTTCTGTTGGCATAGGTAGAATTCATCTTAATTCGTTTTTTTTTTAGACATAACGGCAGAATTTGGAGAAAGAAAAGGAAAAGACTATTGGAACCTTCGCCATTTTCCCCCGTTTTCGGGGAATTGCGAAAAATAATTTTCTTCTTCTTTTTTACAAGATTCGCGATTATCCAACAGCACCCTGATTTTGGTCAACCATTTTGAAAAGTAACGAGAAACTGGTCAAGTTTACGAGAAAAAATATGCATCATAAAGGTAAAAACGTAGGATTTTAATTTGGTTGGGGAAATCGTTGTCAACAGGTTCTTCAAACATGGAAACAATTTAGAGTAAGGTATCTATAGCTTTTGAATGACTTGATCAACGAAACTTCAAGAGGATTATCTTCGAAATTTTTATGCAGTCATAAATCCTAGAGACGCGGGATAAGAAATAATATTCCCGATAAAATATACTTCCTTTTGTTTTCTTCTGAAATTAATTCAGTGCTTTCCCGGCTTGATTTTCACCGTTTTGAGGTGAATTTTCATTGTCATTACACCCGCTTTGAGTACTGTTTTTGTGGAATTTTAGTTTTGTAGTCTTCATTTTTAATTCTCTTCTAATTTTCTGAGGGTTATCCCGCAGTTCCGCGCGAAGGTGGATACAGTATTTCGAACTTCATTGAAAATAAATCCATGATTTTCACAGTGTTTTTTTTGCGTCTGGTATTTTCTTCAGATTTTTGTCGATTCATTGAATCTGTTGTTTTTTTTACGAAGTATATGATCCCGCGTAGAACTGGGACAGCCCTCGTACGTCTGTTTTCGGCTCCGCGTTTCATTCGAATATGCGTCTCATTTTGGATCCAAGAAATTTCCACTTGAGTGATGCATGACTAAGCTTCTTTTTTTTTAGGGGAACTTTACCGGACAGTCCACCCGATTCTGGATCAGAAGCATTTTCTCCACAAGATTCTGAACCATTCAGAATCGTACGAGGTCCATTGACTGCAGGTTCGTATAGTTGTACATTTCTATAGTGTTCTCCAACCTTTTTGGGCCCGCAGACCGGTAAAGTAAAAACAAAATTGTGCAGACTGGCACATTCCCAAAAAATTTTATGCGGACCGGTGAAGTTTCATAAAATTTTTGCAGACTCACCGAAGTCTTGTTTGCATGTTAATAGGCAGGTATTTACTGCACAAGAAAAACTCAGTTAAGAATTTCGTGAAACCATTAGAAAGGTGGGCTTGGAGAAAGGTTTCTCGGAATGAAAAATTAAAATAATTTATTTCAGCAGGTGAACATTTGTCTCAACTGCTATTAGCAGAAAAGCCAACTTTTGTTTACATCAGATGATTCGACTGACACTGTCCTTCCAAAATTTTAGGTAAAGAGAACAGACTTCATCCCAACTTTTGATACATTTATTATGGTGAAAATTTCTCGTGGACCAGCAAAAAACTTCTGAGGACCGGCGCCGGTCCGCGGGCCACGGGTTGGGACATCGCTCCACTTAATTTCCGCTTTGAACGTTTTTTTTAACACTTCTTTGGACTTGGCTTGATAAGCGGATGGCGACCAATTTAATTTTCAGAAGTCATGGTCAGTAGTAATTACTTTTGATCGTAGATTCCTTACTTTCGTATTTTTCATCTGTGCCTTTTTTATCTTCCGTATGTTGATTTATATTGCTGGAAAACTAATACAAATTGAATATGGTGTGGGTTGGTCTTCGGTAGATCCGAAAAACTATAAAAAAGCGTCAATTTTGAATACAGTATTTTTTGTAAAATCAGTGCGGCATTAAAATACACCGTATTGTTATTTGCGGAAGAAAATCTGAATTGATATTTTTTTTGTGCAGTGCTATGATCCAAGCGTTCAGATTTAGGATGAAAACAGCGCAGTTTTTCGTGCCTTTCATCATTTTATTTCTTCTGAAGGAAAGGAACAGGTCGGATTCAAGCTTCAATCGAGTGGCTGTCTTTTGGCTTGATTTGAGCTGAAAATTCAAATTCAGTAGTTTTTATTCAAATGAAGAAGCGCACCAATATCATATGAACCCGAAAATGACTTAAATTTGACCCGAATTATTATCGTCATCAAGAGCCAATAGAGTTTTATGCGACATCTATGTTCAACTCTTCTCGTTTTTGTGATTCAGATCGGAGCATAACTGGCACCCTTCCGCCGAATCTGCAAATAATCCCAGTACCTGCTGGAAGCCAAAGTGTGCCCGGGATGTTGCGAAATAACCCATCCAATCACCAACCTACGATCTTGAACCTCGGACACACCAACACGCCGAGTTTGCGAATACACATTTGGGGCAACCGATGATGCACCATCATCATCAACAACAACAACAGCATCATCATTCACAATTCAATCCTTTGCACCAGGGGTACCACTCCCCTGTACCGGGATTAATCCCGAATCCCACGGGTTATCCGGGTACCCAACAGCAGCAGGGCTACGGTGATGCCTTGACTGGTTTGGAGCCCGTGACGAGAAAAAAGCGGAAGCTGGATGCTGAGAATGTGGATATCATGACTTTGAGCAACTGTTACAAAATTGAGCCAGGTTTGTGAAAAGTTGCGTATCTGTGAATTCAAAGTTGATTTGGGGGCTTTTCCTATGATTGAAGTTCAGCTATCAGACTGTGTCTGCATTCATGCTTGCTGGTTTGACCCACGTTTGAAGTACTGTACTGTATTGGTTCCTTATGTTTGAGACTTCGAGATGGCTCCAAGGGAGTTTCAACAATTCCAACAAAATCTCTGGCTGTTCTCAAAATTAATTCCTTTTGGGGCGTTCTCCACTGAGGGGAGAGGTTTCAGCTTCAATTTCCACCATCAGAGATGAGTAGCTCAATCAACTATAGGAACTCGATTTTTGGCACTGTTCTGATCATTATTTTTATCTCATGAAAAACGCATTGAAAATCGGCGGGGAGGATTCTTTTCAACAGTATTGTAATGTTTTCTAATGATGGGGCTATCCGATGAGTAAAAAAAAATGTTTAATTATCGAAACTCCGTTGGATCTGTTTCAAAAAGTCTCAAACGTTATGAACCAACCCTCGTCGGTCAACTATCCAGTATATGTTCAATTTTGTTTTATGGGATGTTTCTGATTGAATTTAATATCTTATTCCAGGCGAGGGAATGAATTGTTCTGTTGGTCAACGGTCGCAAATCAATTCCCCAGCGAACACTGGGGGACACGACAACGCCATGTTCGATGACGAAAGTTTAAGTGGTGGTGGAGACTTTGACTATCACTTTGGCCAAAGAGGACAAGGGGATCAGTTTTCTGCTGATTCCCAAAATCAGTGCATTCGGTTTGTCAGATTCCAGGAAGATTCGTGGGGTCATTTGGTGGACGCTATGGGAAATCCAATCACACTGACGTTTCAAGTCGATGCCGATAAAGGCTTCAATTTTTCCCATTCCGATGACTCTTTTGTTTGTCAAAAGAAAAATCATTTTCAGGTGAAACTTCATGATTTTATAGTTTTCTATATTAAGAATTCGCTCATTTCTTGGTCTTGTTTTCAGGTGACTTGCCATTTTCAGAGCAGTGGAACTGGAGCTTTTGTCAAAGTGAAGGACAGGAATCCGGAAAAGATAGAGAGCTTGAATCTGAACTTTTTCGGCGTTAAAGCCGAGAGTCCAAGTCAAACAATCAAAATTGAACAATCTCAATCAGACCGATCAAAGAAGGGCTTTGTTCCAGTCAAGTGAGTTGATGAATTGTCATTCCTCGAGTCAATATCCCGTATACATTTCCGGTATTTTGTTTATTGTCATAGATTGGAGTTGGGTCCATCGCAAATTACCAAAGTGACGATCGGTCGCTTACATTTTTCTGAAACTACCACTAATAATATGAGGAAGAAAGGGAAGCCGAATCCCGATCAGCGCTATTTTTTGCTGGTTGTTGCCGTTCAAGCTCAATTACCGGGCGAACGACTGATTCCTGTTTTCCAGTACGCCTCAGACAAAATTATCGTCCGAGTGAGTTTTCATCGTCGATTTTTCAAAAGGGTTCTTCTTTATGCATGCTTTTTATGTTGAATCACGTGTCTTCGTCATACAGGCGTCGAATCCCGGGCAATTTGAAAATGACTCCGAGATAATGTGGATGAAATCCCCGAGTTCGCCGGAGAATATTTTCCATCATGGCAAAGTCGGGATCAACACGGATGCTCCTGATCAAGCCATGACGATTTATGGGAATTTGAAACTCACTGGTCAGATTTTGCAGCCTTCGGACTGCCGAGTGAAAGAACACGTTCGCGAAGTGAGTTGAAGATTTCCTGCAATTTTGTGCGAATATAAAAGGGAACTTTTTTGCCACCTTTTCACTCGCGAAAATTATCCGTGTGTAATTTCTATACTTCAGTAAAACTCGCATGACTTATCCTAATTGTACAAAATAAGCCACAGACTGGTCCAAAAATGAGCATACGTTCGAATGAAGTACAGTATGTCTAATTCCCTCATCGAACAGGTTTTACATTTTTATCCATTAGGTTCCTCTTCTACGTAGCCTGAACAGAAAGCAAAAAACGATTGAATGAAAGTGGAAATTTTAGAAAACATACGATAACTTTTTTCCTACTGGAGTGGTTTTTGAAGTTACTGTACATTGTTATTTTAATTTTGCGGATGAAGCTGATTTTCCTTGGAGGGGGTTTTGTAAGCGAACCTTCGTTTTTGCAGTCTTTCATAGAGCTGCATTTTGTTCGAGGAGAACAGGAGATACGAAGTGTTTTTCCCAGTCAACCTCGATGAATGGACATCGTGTGATGCTACAAGGCTACAGACTTCGATTCTTTGAAAGTTATAATACCTGAAAAAATGTGTTGCTTCTCTGTCGAATATCGGTAAATGATGCCTCATGTATAACTCCCGTAAAATTGGGTAACGTGTAGACTTCATTCAAGTGCGTGGAATCAATATCCTGTTCATGAGGATGACCGATTTGCTTCTTTCAAAAATTCCCAGTGCGACACCCGTGATCAGTTGAGAACTATTTCCAAACTACGTGTCGTGGATTTTGAGATGAACCACGAAGTTGCGAAAACTCTGGGAAGGACTCCCGGACGAGATCGAGGACTGATCGCACAAGAAGTTGCTCAGGTAATTCCTGATGCTGTTCATCCCACCGGAAGCTTCGTTCTACCTTCGGGTATCGTCATCGATGACTTCCTCACCGTTGACAAAGTGAGCAATTTTTTCTTTTGTCATTAGGCTCTTGAAATTATCCTGGTGAGAGTGATTGGTGCTGAAACGTTCTTAAAACTTTGACATCTAACCTTTTTCCCTGGATTGTGAGGCGAATGTCGCAAGCCGAAAATCACTTGAAAATTCGAAATGAACGTAAGTGGGATCCGGCTGGTTCGCGTCGGTCTGTCGTAACTTGTGACGTTGGTTTGTTTGAATTGAGGCGACATCTATGTAACTGTATAGAAAATATAGGCGTGGGAAGTTTCAACATCGTAAAATAATGAATTCCTAGTGGAAAATTCGTATCAAAATGAAAATGTAGTAATCCAAATGGTCGTTTCAATTTTATTTTTGGGCGAAAATTTTCTCACGTCTTTCTCTCTGTATTTTCGCAGGAACGAATTTTTATGGAGAATGTTGGTGCTGTGAAGGAGCTGAACAAAGTCGTTGATAGAATGCAAAACAGAATTAGTGAGCTGGAAAAGGTGCACAAAAAGTTGGAGAAGGTCAGGCGGAATTCTTCCATAAGGGGATCTGGCTCTTCTTTTTCAATTGGTGAGTTTTATTCCTTGTTTTTTTGTTTTGTTCAGAAAGGAACTGCATGCTTTTGAAGAAATATTCTTGCATAATTTTCATATTCCAGATATATTTGTTTAGCTGATGTATAATTCAACTGATATTACATTACGCATATTTTTATTCGCAATATGTTCACCAAATTATGTGTTGAGGTTATTTTTGGCATTATTTTCAGACAAAGCCCCATCCCTCAAGCAGGAAAGTTTGGCACCTTGCCAAAAATCTTGCAAAACTGGCATTGACTTCCATCCGTTCTACATGGTGGAAGGACGATCGAAAGCGGCTCGGTCTGCTCGATCAGCATCTTTACCAGTTGATCGATTCGATCAATGCGACACGTGTTGCCAACACCATCACATTTACTGCCTTCGGGAAAACAAGCGCAAGTCCAGTAATCGCGATTGCATTCAAATTAAGAAACCGGTTCCGGATTTCGGAGAAGGCAAAGCCTGTGATGAGGCTGCCGGAACCTGTGGCAGTTCGAATTGGTCTCCGTGGTCACTCGCTCTTGGGATTTGCTCTGGACTTGCTTTGGCGTAAGCATTCTGATTACTGTATTTTATTTTGTCAAAAATACTCGTAGTTTTAAAACTGCAGGGTATTTTCATATGCTCTCGAAAGTGGTAGATGCTTAGAACCCCTGCGAAACTTTCTAAAATTTAATACACCCTATTTCAGACATGATTTCCGAAAACCCAGACGTTTTAGTTCCATTCCACATATGTTTCATCAACTTCGATGACCCGTTCATGCACAAGATTCATCGAAAAGTTAATGTATTTCAAAATTTTCAATTTTTCGTAAACATGAATAATCAATTAATCGTGGATTTTATTAATTTTTCTTCTTCGTCGCTTTAGTTGAAGGGAAATATATGGTAATTGTCACTATTTGCGCATGCGAGACGTGCCATCTAGCGGAATATGAGGGTTTCTTCCTAACCCTAAGTCCCTATAAGAACTTATAACTTCCAAAATACGAAAAGGCTAAATTTAGTCGAACGCTTATTTTCATATTCGGAGTCTCTACATTCATAGTTTTGCTATCATGTATTTTGGTATTCGTCATTGACGTGATGGAATCCCAAAAATAAGTTTGTTACTGTACACGAGTTCGACGAGCATTCTTGGAAATTTTCTGACATTCACAAAAAATGAAAGTAAAAAACCAATTTGAACATCCATCTTTTTCGTTGTTGTCGGAAAATAGTTCGACTTTCTTTCGGGCGAAAATTTAACCGACTGATATTTTTTCAGGCTTGTGTTGTTCTCCATCGCCCTTTTCCTGATGAACCGGTTTGGCGTGATCGTCCTTTCAGGAGTTTCGTGAGTTCCTGTTTTGCTTCTCGATCGGATTCTTCAGTGTACTGCAGTTAATGTAGCTCTTCTTCGTTCGACGAAAATCTCATTTTACGCACGCGCATATCCCTATAAAAACTCGACTCGTTCGTATGAAGAATCAACGCACACGGAATCCTTCGAATTTCGGAAAAGTGACCGAACACTTATAAAGCCAACAATAATTGCTTTTGTGAAAGTTAACTCTTCTATCTAGAGAACTTTTCGTTTTGTTTTTACGCTGCTCTCAATTTTTCGTAGTTGACTGGGAACTTCTGTTTATATAGTGATCATCGCCGAAAAGTGCCTGTGAACTGCCGTTACTTAATTTGAGTCTCATTGATTAGATACCATGAATTAAATTTTTGTGCGAAGAATATTTCGTTATCGGCCCGTTTTATTTTCTGGCCGGATACTGTCGATTTCTCTTCGTACCTCTACTACCTCATTTGAATGAGAAAACGCGTTCCCCATAACGATCGCCGTGTGAACTACTTGTCGGAACGAATAAATGGCTCGTTTTCTATTCCTTGAGGCACGTTGAGCATCACTTGACGTTATACAGTATTCCGTTAAAATTAATGTTTTGTTTCAACAGAGAACCGAGCAATGCTGTAGGTACGACCACCCACCGTTATGTGAACAGCGAGGAACAAGAAGGATCTTGGATCTGGTCTCCCTTTTCACCAGGAGAGAAACCTTCAACTCTCCGCGACGAGGGGTCTTGGCCGTCAATCACCAAAGAGCGAGGGGATGAAATTCCCACTACACCCCAACGACACACAACGTCCGACGGAGCCGTCGTCCATCACGGGGAATTGACAGCTATATCTCCGCAAGATTTGCCGCCGATTATCGGATTCTCGCCGATTTGTTTGCGGAATGGATCTGTGGCCGAGAGCGCCGAATGCGTAGTGAGTTTTTAAAATAAACCTCTTTATACGATTTTCCTGTCAATTTTGTTGCATGAAAATTTGCGGGAATGCGTCGAATATGGAGGTCATTTTGTGTATTCAATACAAAAATTTCATTTACCCTTCACGTCTCTTCAGGTGGTTTGCAGATTTATACGATTTTCCTGTCAATTTTGTTGCATGAAAATTTGCGGGAATGCGTCGAATATGGAGGTCATTTTGTGTATTCAATACAAAAATTTCATTTACCCTTCACGTCTCTTCAGGTGGTTTGCAGACCATTGGAATGTCCCCCACATCAAAGACAAGTTTCTCACCGAGAGTCTTACTCAAATAATGGTTAGTAATTTTTGGTTCTTGGATTTCAAATCCTGGATTTCAAACTTCGGAGCATCGGTCAGGTGTCTTAGCGTTTATGGAACCGCACAAAGCTATACTAATCATCCGAGCGTGTGAACTCGCCTAACTTGTGTTGAAATCAGTGACATCTTTACTTATGGTAAGGAAATGAAAGAAAACATCGCGCGATGGCATACGAGATTGCGACGAGGAGAATTCAATATTTCGAGACTGAAATGACTGAATTGAAACAAAGAAATTAGATATACCAATACTGTATTGATGTTGAGTTATATCCGCTGTTGAGGATTTAAAGTGAGCATGTCGTAGTTCTTCCTTCGTCTACTTCGCATGATACAAGTACGAGATTTGCTTTCCTTTCCAGAAATACCGCTTAATTGTTTCTTGTTCCGTTTTCGTCTTAATCAATGCTGGGTTGTCTTCGGAATCTGGTTTAGTTATGAATTTCATGAAATTAATCGTTTCGTCGGGCTTCAAAATTCAAATTTGCGTAGTGGCGCTACGCGTCGGGAAATTGTCGCGGACGTAGGGCGACGTCTGGACAATTTTACAGTACAGTATTTCAAAATTTAAAAATCAGGGCTGTACGTGTCGAGCATAAAAATATAGAATCATTTTATTTGTTTGCCTTTTTTCATAGTTTAAAAATCAGGTATGTACGTGTCGAGCAGAAAAATATAGAAGCACGTTATTTGTTTGCCTTTTTCATGGATAAAAAATCAGGGCTGTACGGGTCGAGTAGAAAAACATAGAAGAACTTTATTTGTTGGCATTTTTTCATAGTTTTTTTTTCCAAATCGAAGCAGGTATAAGTTGGAGTATGACGCCGAGAAACGTGGCGGACAGCTCTAGTCCCATAGTTATCGTGAGCCCTGTGTTGAGAGACAGCACAGCCGCTGGAGGATTATCAAACCACATTCCGCAAACATCTTTGCCATCAAGCAATGGGTTGTCATCGGAAATTCTGGATGAATCCCCGCTGAAGGTGTCAAGAATGATCACGAAGCTGCGGCGCAAGCGGAATGTCATTTTGGAAGAAGTGAGTATCCTTTATAATTGGGGTTGGTGTGTATGAGCCTTGATTTTTCGCTTGGACAATCATATAACCGTCGTCGCAAAACTTTCCTACGCACCAATAATAAGTTATGCTTCATCCGCACGAAACCCAGAATCAGCGTTTGGATATTTTGCCGTCGCTAGAGAAGAAAGCCTGTCCATTTTACTGCTGAAATGTTGAAAAAAAATGGTAGGACTGCGACACACTTCCATTTCATTGATGCCGAATGCATGAACTTCGGGATGCTTTTGTTCGAGGACAGGATCATCTTGATTCGGAATTTGAAGGAATACACGAGCGTTCAGACAAGAGAAAAGCAGTGATCTATAGGATCAATGAATTTGATTTGATCGACATTGCGAACAGTTTCAACGATCTATCCACTAAGCTGTTGGAAAAGAACTTGATTGATATTTATCTCTCTGTGAATACTGCCAAGAATGTTGATGTGTTGAACAGAACGGATGAGTATAGACTTATAATTATCACTCTATGATCTCTTTTCTCAGGCTTCGAGGATTATAATATGGTAAAATCGTAATCTAGTCTCTATAGTGGAACAAGCTAGAATTTTTCTCGATGGCGTGGCTGGTTCAGAGTGGTGCTGAGAAACACGCAGTTTTCATAATTTTGAGTCACTATTCGGCCTGTTGGACGATGAATCGATGATTAGAGTCATGAAGGTATATCGTGCATGGAAGTGATACAGTATCACATTGTATTTGTAAAAAATTTTCTTTCCTTCTCCTCTTACACCGATTTTCCACGAATGCTGCTGGTGACTTATTCATGATGATTTTTCAATTTCAGGATAACGCAGTGCCTGTTTCGAATCCGGTGGAGAAGGGCTCTGTGATTCCCCGCTACCGTATCTCAAACGCGTCGATCAACAAGTCGAAAGACAACGGCAATCTACGAACCCCCGGAGAGCTGAGTGAACCCGCAGCCATAGGCAAGGAATCGGACTTCCTTTTTGTCAACAAGAGGATAGTTGTTGGTTCCGGTGAACGAGGAAATGCGGTAGATGATGAAGTGCTCGCTCGTCCGACTCCCATTGACAAAATCGTGTTGGTGGATGCAAACCGGACACTGACGAGTCAGTACTGTCTCGGTGACGACCACGGTTGTGTTTTCAGTACTTCGGGCAATTGGACGTACGGGATTCCGGTGTCGATGTTCTCGCGCGTCGAGACGATGCATTTGCAGTTTGTGTGAGTGCCACCTTTTTTTACTTGATTTGAGCAGCGCAAATTTTTTTTCTAAAAATTCGGACCAAGAAATTGGGTGTGCGTCATATACTTGAGTAAAGGAATGTTCCTACCCAATTTCCAAAATCCTTGCTTCCATTATACTTGGATTGAGTTACAGATAAATCACGAAAAGGAGCCGATTGAATGCGCTGGAATTCTCCTTCCTTCCATTTGAGTGTAAATCAAAAATTTTAGGTTATATAATTCTTGAATTGTCTACATTTTTCATTGAAAATTGAGGTGTGGGGATAAGTTTTTAACAAATATTGCTACTCAAAAATGCAGATGCCTGGTACTTCGGGAAATGCGGTATTATCTGATCTGCAAATGGGGATTCAACTTGATGGTACAGTATTTGAGTTAATAAGTACAGTACAGTAACTCATCTTTGAAATTGATGCATGTAGAGTTTTTGGACAATTTGAAGAATACCGGCGCTAGTGTGTCATATTCCATAAGAACCGTCAATCTTAAATTTGAATACTGTAGTTACAAATTATTAGCATAAGACCGGTAATTTGATTTTCTCATTATGTATCGTTGTAATATTTTGTTTCATTGAGAAACAAGGTGATTGGAATGTGTCTGTCTTCCTAAATAATGCCGCGAATGTTCATGTAGATATATAATTGTGTTTATTTGTAAATGTTCAGCTTCTGCCTACTTGTCGAACGATTTTTCAGTGAAGTTGGCATTATGATTCTAGAGACGCTTGTTTTTTTTTTTCAAGTTTGAATTGCGCAAAAATAGGTTAAATGAATTTTCTCGGAAAGGTCATAAGCCCTGAGCGTTGCTAGCGAATGACCAACTTACTGTTGATACAAACCCGAAAATCGATTTTCTGGTGAAATCACGTAAGTTTTGCAACATGTCTCTGGAAAACCTGTGTTGATCACAATAACGTTGGTTCCTTTCAATATAATTGCGAGTATTTTCATTCATTTTTGAATCTCAATTCAACAGATATTCGCCCTTGGCTGGAGGAGATACTAAACGTTTGCCGGTCCTTTGTGACTCACCCATGCCTGTGTCACCGACGCTCCGCTTGCTTCTAAACGCGTTACAAAGGCCTTTACCGTGTCTAAACTACGCTAGTAGACGCGGCTTAGGCTAACAGTCGTGTTGATCTCTTAAGCTAGTGTGGCATGAAAACCTTGAGTTGGGGAATCGATCTGTGTCGTTCCGCTTTCGTGTGCCAACAGAAAGCAAATATGCAGAGGTTAGTTGAATTTACCTAAGGTTGCATTTTCAGAAAATTCTTGATTTATTTACGGAATTGTACTCATTTGCTTGTAATACCATAAAATGTACTGTGTGTTTAAATGAGATTTTTCAGCCTTGCTCTAACGGAAATACTGATGGAGCCATTTTTAATACCGTTATTACATTTTTCGTTATTGAAAGGAACTGGTATGCAAAAAGAGAAGACTACACATGAAATGAACTAATTTCTTCTCTAAGTTCAGGGAAGCTTTTTGTAACATGTACTCAAAAGCCCCGTCCAAAACCATTTTAAGTTAAAACCGACATAACTTAAATCGTTTTAGGGGTAAACTAATCTTTTCTTACTTGATCTGGCAAATACGCAGATCCAACATTATTTACTTTTTGAACGAAGATTCTGTGCACCTCGGGTATTCTTTATTATCCAAGACTTTTGATAAGTTTTGTGGTCGCACTGGTAATACACATGAACTACTGATTGCTTATTTCGATCTCGTCTGCATTTGCTGTTTGGTACATGCCCTCTTGTCAGGGCCGGCCCAAGCCTGCATGGCGCCCATGTGCAAACCCTTACTTGGCGCCCCTATACATGAAAAACTGCAATCTGAGAATATACACAGTAAATAGGGTTCCCTGTCTAATATTTAGTTTTTAAAATGTAGATGTGGATTTTGATTGGATAAAACATGTTTATTCTTCATACATGTTATGAAATGAAAACTTATTCAACAGAAAAAACCATGGTTCAATACAAATGCTGCAGAATCTCCATGAGGAAATACCAACACCAAAATAAGGGTTACTGAAAAAATTGTGTATGTCTAGAATAACACGTTCCTGGCTTTTGCACTAGCAAACCTTGAGATGATACCATTTGTTTCTATAGTTCTTCAAGTTCATCATGCTCAATTGAAATCATTAATAAATTTGACAATTTTACTGGACTCATTCTTGATCTTAANTGCAGAGGTTAGTTGAATTTACCTAAGGTTGCATTTTCAGAAAATTCTTGATTTATTTACGGAATTGTACTCATTTGCTTGTAATACCATAAAATGTACTGTGTGTTTAAATGAGATTTTTCAGCCTTGCTCTAACGGAAATACTGATGGAGCCATTTTTAATACCGTTATTACATTTTTCGTTATTGAAAGGAACTGGTATGCAAAAAGAGAAGACTACACATGAAATGAACTAATTTCTTCTCTAAGTTCAGGGAAGCTTTTTGTAACATGTAGAGTTTTCGGGGCAGGTTTTGGTAAAATTCAATTTTGGCTGTATTGAATTTAGCAAAATCCCCATTTGATTAGAAAAGAATGAACTAGACCGTTTATGCGTCTAGGTTGTAATAAATGAAAAACTTGTAAGATTCTGTGCACCTCGGGTATTCTTTATTATCTAAGACTTTTGATAAGTTTTGTGTTCGCACTAGTAATACACATGAACTACTGATTGTTTATTTCGATCTCGTCTGCATTTGCTGTTTGGTACATGCCCTCTTGTGCAATGTTCAATTTTTGCTGTTTCCTGTTTTATTACCCTCGTCTTGTGATATTCGTTCGATTGATACTGTACTGCCCAATTTGGCACTTGCGAATATCGGATAATCGTGATCACACCAAAGAATAGCAAGTATTAATCAGCTTCTTTCCTTGTTACAGGGAATATGCGACCTCGACAAAAAGTTCTTGGAGGATAGATTCTTCGAGTACAACTTCCATTTTTTCCGAGTTTGTCTGTGATATGCCGGAACTTTGCAAGCTTCCCAAAGCAATGTTGTTTGTTCCCTGTGCGTTTTTTTATGTTCTTTGACAATCACCATAGAACGACGTTGTTATATGCGGGCGTTGACAAGATCTGTTGATATAGTGCTTAAATATCTCCTGGGAGGCTGATTCGGAAGTTGAAATAATGATTTTTTTTTTTGCGTAGAAAAACGCTGACTCTGAATTGAAGCCAAAACTGTGATCGTAGCTGCTGAATGAGATCTTCCTCAAAAGCTATACAAGCATTGTTTGATCTCATATGTTATGATTTTGTCTGGTGTGCTCGAATTTCGTTGCAAATGGTGCGCAGTTGTTGCTCACGGTGAAATTTAGCGGAGTTATTGGTAGAATTGTCCTTGCCATTGTCGTTGCAAAGAGAACAATTGATTCACTAGCTCGTGTTGCTCGTCGTGAAATGGTTTATCTTTAAATTATTTTTCCATCGCGCTGATGAAATATTTTTGTGTGTGTGTGCGTATTATGAAAAGTTGTGGCGTATTTCGCGAAGGAAGTGAGTCCTTTTCGCGCTTCTGGAAACGGCTTATAATTTCTCATCTTTTGTGAAGTAATTTTCAAGGTTCGGAGGCAGTTGAATTATTGAGATTCTCAGTTCGGCTACAGAAGCGCGGAAATGTTTCGGGTGTTATCCTTGCTCTTGGATAAGGTATGCCTGCAATTTACTGTGAAAAAAAGAGAAAAATGTTGCTTGTCGATTGCGTGGTGACTGAATCCGTCCGCGAGAAACTGAATCTTTCGGAAAATTTGGATCAAGCAACAAAACGGAAAGCTTGTTTTCCATAAAAGGGTATATTTGAGCGCTGGTCCCTCCATTTTTTTTCCTTTAAAACCAATTTTCTGGACGGAATGACGCGTTTTGGTAATATCGATTTCGCTTCTCCATCAACAGGGCAAACATTTTTTTCTGGTTCTCGACGAAAAAGAAAGGTGTCAAAAAAATGAAGTTTTGCACGACAGGAAAAAATAACTCGCGAGAACGACCACACACCAAACGAGTACTGGCCGATCACATGTAAGTTGAACCGAACCCGTCACGAGGTTCTTTCTTCGCATTCGCCACAAAGAAAATAGATTTTTCGAAATGATAATTTTTTTCGCTCTGCGACGCAAAATTTCAGGATTTCGTTGCCGCGGAATATTTATGGACGGACATTCATTCGTATGGATAGCGCCGAATCACAGGTATGGAAAGGTGTTTTTCCTCCAGCCTCAAACAACAACAAAACATTTCACATTTTTCTTCATTCAAATTTTGTCGACGCTCAAAAAAAAAACATTTATCAAGCACTTCGTTTCGTTTCCCAAAACCGAAAAAAAGGGAATTTCCCTCGCAAACATTCGCTGAATCGAGTAACTTTTTCAGATGCGATCACGATTTGATATTTGCGCTTGGTTTTTCCTTTTTCGTATTGTATTCGAACTGACTCACTCGTCTGGCAACTAAACTCCAACGCTAGACACTCTTTTAGGGGAGGCAATTTTTTGATTTAGTACGTTCATATTTTGAAGAAAACAAAAATCAAAATTAAATCCATTTTCTTCAACTTTTATCAGCTTTTAAATACGGGGTCGACAAGTGCTATTCCGAAAAAAAAACGACTTGATCACTGAAGTGCGCAAAACAAATTGTTCTCTATGTCTGGTTTCGAAACAACTTCTCAATTTTTTGCGCAGGTGAAGAGAAAGGGACATTGTTCATGCGTCAGTGTCGACGCATATGGAGCGACAAATGGTCGGATCGGGAGAATGACCGCTGGCACAAGTGGCACTGGAACGGTTTTTGGCCCGTATGTTTCCGGAAGTGACGAGTGAGTTCGTCGGATCTGGCGAATTTCCATGTGCAACCTTCCCAAGTGCACTCGTACGGTTTCTCGCCTGCGCCAAAAAGAAGAAAGAAGATGCGTGTGAATTAAAATTGAATGCCAAATCTGTCAAGATATATGGAAAAAAAAATTTTAATTCGGTAATTCGAACCTTCTTTCAATTCCATTCTCAAGGCAACGCTGAATATGTTAGTTACCTTGCTTCAAAACCTCTTCAAGTCGAATTTCGTCTTAGCTGGTCCCTTCGAATTCGACTTGAAGAGGTTCAACTCTACAGTAAAAGCCACAGGTAATTTGAAAAAGGTGGTTTGCAAACATTCATGCCTTGAAATTTGTACCATTTATATTTTGAACTTTGAGAAGATTGGATAAATTGAGCTTTCAAGTCAATAAAAATGGACTGGCCATCTATGTTACAATTATATGGGAAAAAGCCAATTGAAGGGAAAGGGTGAGGCTCAGTCCAAACCCTATGTTTTAGTGGGACTTAGAAGCCAGAAAAGATTACCAGAAGATCATACATATGTGATCAGCTCTAATCAATGACCTTTTTAAAATATCCTGCATGATGCCCAGTTGTGGTTGGGCACCTCCAGCTTGTTCATTATATAAACTTCGAAAAGCTTGGATGAATTCCATGCATAATTTCTTATCAGATCGTGCCTTTGTCTGCTTGAAACGGAATAAATTTATGTTATAGTTCAAGATAAGTAGATTGTTTCAATGAAATATCGTATGATTTGTTTAACTAGTTAATGTCTCTAGATCTACATGACCTCTGAGAATTCTCGCGCAAGGTTCAAGCCCTGCATTGATGATCTTACCGGTGTGAGTTCGTTTGTGAGCTTTGAGATGCGAACTTTTGGTGTACACTTTATCACAGCCCGAGAAATCGCAGCGGTGCACCTTTCGGCGCTTCAGACTCTCCATGTATTCGGCGCCGATCGGCCCGTTCCCGTTGATGTCTGGTGAGCTCGGCGGCGGCGACCCATTGTCCACCGGGGTTCCTCTTCCGTTTCGGCTCGGGAAAATCCTGCATGTGGGCGAGACAAAAAGAACAAATGAGGATGATGAGATGAATTGGAATTCCGTCGTTTCGTTATTTACTGTGTTGAAGCGCCATTGATTATGCGTGTCTCGCCGTGATATGCAAGCCATATCTTTTGCAGTCAAATCATTTTGATTAAACCTATCGCAAGGGACTATTAGCACAAAAATTTGACTTTGGGAGTTTTCAGTTCATTTTTGCTGGGGAAAGGATGAAGAACAATATGGGAGTAACAACATTGGTGATACAGTATTCTGGGCCTTGAAATTGCTTCTTAAATGAGATGAAAGTATGCTGAACTTGAAGGCAAGTGTTCATTTGCAAAATTAAGTCACTTACTACTTCCCCTAAAAAAGCATCAAGTTACTTCATTATTGCTCTTCTCTTTCCTGCGTCCGCAATACAATAAGCCAATAAGGCCTCTCAGTATTTGAGTTATGAAGGTTTCATGGGAAGTCTTTGACTTGAGGAGTTGTATGACTGCACATTATATTAATTTTAAGGAAATTCAGCGAGGGATTGAACAAGAATTATAGACATAGTGCGGGTTTTAAATTGAAAAGGTTAGACTTAGCAAGGTGATGTTCAGTTGCTTTTGAAAATTTCTTGCGAATTTTAAGGAGACTTAAACTAATACAATGTATATACTGTACAAGGAAACATTTCTGTATTAACTACTGATGTACATACATTTACGCAAAAAATATATAAAAATATTCTGAAGTATTTTTCTAGGATGACATACAGTGTGGTTTAGAGATAAAGGGACTAAACGAGGTTAATTTTCGAAAAGGTAAATCTCTTGACAGGTAGGATTACGAGGTGCACTTTTACCGCCTTAAAAAATTATAGTTCAAGTTTATTCAAGCTCAGCTCTCCAATGCATACCAATTTTTAGTCATTTTCCTCCGAAAACTATTATGCTCTGAACACTAAATGTCTTTGTAACATGCGATAGAAGCATTGAGGCATTCATTTCATGGTGGCTAATGACAGCAGTGCAAAATGAGGGACTCAAAAGTGCCCGCCTTTTTTTACATATAGGGATTTCCCTTCAAAATGAAATAAAGTTGCTGACACATCAGGTTTCCGAAGTGAATAAGATTGCTAAGGTTATCTTGATTTTCCTGTTTACAAAGAAAATTTATAGACAAAATGTAGTTCTTTAGCATTCGTTACAATAAGTACTTTCGTAGATGTAAAAGGTACAAGTAACTTATATGACATCGACTTTAAGCTACGGTATATATTTTCAACTTTGGGGCTTAAATTAAAATTTAAATTGAGAGATTTTCAGTATCTCGTTCTCGGCGGCAATGTCAGCGTAACCCGTGAAATTATTGTATTCCATGATTGGTTTTGTCCAGGTGGTAAATATTTGCGCTTTCTAATTACAGCGCAACAAGGCATGAACTCCACGCAGCCCATCACAACAATTGTTCCCAACCAAAGAATAGACACTTGATGACACGATGCATCACGTACCTGCCCATATAATGAAAAATTAAGTACCGAATGAGAATTTTCGAGACGGATATATACTATTTACTTGATGCAGCTCAGCAGTTGCCGAGATCCGCAACGGTTCTGTCAAGCCAAAAAACCGATAAATAACGAAAGAAAAAGCTCGCACAGCGGGGATTGTAAATATTTTCTTTGTATGGATGATTTAAGCTGACATTGCCGAAAAAACTCCCCGATGATAATAACTCTGCGGCACATTCTCAACGGAAATATTTTGCATGCCCATCACCAACTGCATACAAGATGGTGAGAATCATTTCAGAAGGATATACTCTCGAAGCTAGCGGAGCATTTTTCAAATTCCCAAAATAAAAGTACTGTACTGCGAATGTTCGAAGGGTTTTTGCCTTGTGTGTCGGCGGGGTCTTTTGTTCCTCCGTGTTCACCATCGGACTTCGGAGCGACCTTTTTCATAATGTACTCACAATGAGACCGTTTCCCATGATTCTGACACTTTTATAGCTCAAGGGCACAATACCTGACTGATGTAGTCCTTGCATCTCTCTGCTTTAATTTTCAAAATTTAAGTACTGCTGTATTATCCCCGTATTTTGGGATCGATACGATCCAAACTTATCTATAATATATGGCGTTAGTTTTAATCTTGACTTGAAATAAAGGAATGTTTTCAACCATCAATGGTAGACGCGTGTCTCTCAATGTGCAGCAGTGTATAGTATAGTACGTTGGTCAATGTGCGGGTAAGACTTCGGTAGACACCCCTAGAAGTTTATTTATAAAAACTCTATGAGCGCTATAACATATACGTAATGTATTAAGAATATTCGTCAACTACATGTGTGACGATTGACCTTTTAAAAAATGTAGTCTTTTGCAAACCAGTACACGTCTATACTTTCCTCCGCATAATTTTTATGTGGTACAGATATATTAGAAAACAGGTTGGTATGCTCAATTTTGCTTCATCTGAAGTTTGGCATACGTGATTTTATGCGATTGCTTAACAAATGGTTTCCCGGAAGGAAAACTGGAAATTATTTATTTCAGCCAGTGAAACTTATTCCTAAGTGTTGTTAAGGGAAAAGCAAACTTTAATTTTAATCAGATAATTTCAGCTGCCATTGCCTTTCCAAACCATCAGATAACAATAACAGACTTCATTGCAACTTCTGATGCATTTATTGCACTGTATTATCCTGAAAATTACCCGCGGACCAACAAAAAATTTCCGTGGACCGGCTCCGGTCCGCGGACCACGTATTGGGGAACACTGGCATATACAACGTGTTTGAAATGTCAATTTACACCTCCGCGGAAAGTTTAGAACAAATTTTAATTTCGAATGCATTCGAGAGAAGCTGTGGCTGATGAAAGAAGGTATAGAAAGTTGAAGAAATGACAAATGCTAACTTTAAAAATTGACTCGAAAAAACCCATCATTATACCGTATACACGGAATCAGCTAGGATCTGGTTTACAGCACACACAGTTATTTGATGGAGTTAAAAGCCAGAAAAGGTTGAAAAAGCCATTTTAGACGTGCGATAGTCGCAAAGAATTAGCGGTCGCATCGCAGAAACTCCTGAAATTTTCTATAAATCAAAATACGGTATTAATCCTGCATGAGTCACGGTAATTCTGCCACTTTCCCTGCAAAAAAAAAATCCCTCAAGAAAATTGATCTTCCAAAAAGAAAAAAATGTAAAACCACTTCCAACATTTTACACGCTACGGCTTGAAAAATCGCAAAATTAATTAACTTGAACTCAATGCACGCTTTGATAATTTCATAATAATGAAGGCAACGAGCCAGACAACCACAAATGGCAGGGCTTTTGCCAACACAATTTTTTCAGCCAACTGCATGCATGTTCTGAACAGAAATCGACAAGGCTGAAGTATTCGCTGCATTTTTTTTTCTTCTTCCAGCAATAAATAAATAAACCTGGTTTTTCTTCGGTGCTATATAACCAACCGCATTTTCCGTGCTTGAAAAATTATTCAGCCAGAAGAGGGATCCCGCGACAAGAAAATAGAAGTGAAATTTGCTTTCACTTAGTTTGGTGGCTCCATAATATACGTTTCAGATGAAGTAGAGAAAAGGTCAATGAAAACTGGGGCAATGTATCGAAGTTCGTTGATTTCTGGCTCGGTTCCCAAAATAACTTTCATCTTCAACCTTTTCTTTATTGCCACTGATAGAGAACGAATAGTTTTCAATGCAGTATATTTTAAAAAAGTGACACGTAAAAGCTTTTCCTTTCTCCAGAAAAAGCTGAACTTTGAATTCGACATGATACGATGAGAATGAATTCCTCCGAATAATGAGAAACGCGCAAATTCTTCCGTTAAAAGAGAGCGCATGATTCGCAGTATGAATGATGATTTATTCATAAATAAACTAATTAATCAGGAGAGTCTTATTTTGAGACAATAACTCAAGTTTTTCACTGAATGAGAAGCCTGATAGTTTTCATGCAGATGCGTTGAATGAAATGTAATATAAGCCTTTGTCAAGGTACATTAACTTTTTTTCCTACAAAAAGTACTGAGGCGTATCCAAAATTGTATCGCGATTCCCACCAATCCATTGCCGAAATTCACCACTTTTATAGATGGACACCTAAAAGTGAACTGAATTTTCCACACCGAAGAAATCAGCAGGTAATTTAACTTCATCACTGCTGTACACAAGATTTAAATTACTTGACCCGAATACGCCATGGAGTAAAATAAGCCACAGTGAGATTCCTAAAACAGGGGAAATTTCAGCCCAGTAAGCAACCAACTGCACAAAGTTGTGGCTAACCAATGGAAAAAATCACTGAAATGGATGGACGACCAGCTCGTGCAGAAAAAGTTAATTTTCTAATCGGCCAATCAATCATTTGCCTCTCTACAGCAAAGCAGGAAAAGTTTCAACCCAGATTTTAAAAAAGGCGGATTCAAAATTAAGTAGGAAACATTTTTGAATGACAGAAATAATAGAGTACAGCTTTCTGCTTTAACAATTCCAAATTTTCTTGGGTCTCCACTGTATATTACATTCTTTGAAATGCCATTGTTTTTTGTTGTTGTTGTTTTTCTTGTTTTTCAAATATTGCATCATCTAACATCCCCTTAATACATGATGCTGTGGCTATTTTGACAAATTCATGGCACTTTAGTAAAAAAATTCATCCAACTCTCAAAGGTGTCAAAGTAGTGTAACTCCAGCAGCATAAATACATTAGTTTGTGCATCACCAGAGCACCTTATCTTCTTATGTCCAGCATTTCATATAGATAGAAATCAGCTTAGGAGATATTTAAAAGTACTGAAATTCAATGAAGAGACGCTTTCTGAAATCTTAAAGGATCAAGATAAACTGTTGGCCTTATATGATTTCTCATCAAAGATTCTCTCTAAATTGTTCATTCAACTAAACCTCATACAGAAACAAGCTGAAGACCTTGTGCTTTAAATTAATTTTTTACTGATNATGAAAACTGGGGCAATGTATCGAAGTTCGTTGATTTCTGGCTCGGTTCCCAAAATAACTTTCATCTTCAACCTTTTCTTTATTGCCACTGATAGAGAACGAATAGTTTTCAATGCAGTATATTTTAAAAAAGTGACACGTAAAAGCTTTTCCTTTCTCCAGAAAAAGCTGAACTTTGAATTCGACATGATACGATGAGAATGAATTCCTCCGAATAATGAGAAACGCGCAAATTCTTCCGTTAAAAGAGCAGAGCGCATTATTCGCAGTATGAATGATGATTTATACATAAATAAACTAATTAATCATGCGAGTCTTATTTTGGGACAATTACTCAACTTTTTCACTGAATGAGAAGCCTGATAGTTTTCATGTAGATGCGTTGAATGAAATGTAAAGTAGCCTTTGTCAAGGTACAGTAATTTTTTTCTTTCCTCCTAAAAGTACTGATGATGTGTATCCAAAATTTTATCGCGATTCCCACTAATCCTTTGCCAAAATTCATCACTTTTATAGATGGACACCTAAAAGTGAACTGAATTTTCCACACCGAAGAAATCAGCAGGTAATTTAACTTCATCACTGCTGTACACAAGATTTAAATTACTTGACCCGAATACGCCATGGAGTAAAATAAGCCACAGTGAGATTCCTAAAACAGGGGAAATTTCAGCCCAGTAAGCAACCAACTGCACAAAGTTGTGGCTAACCAATGGAAAAAATCACTGAAATGGATGGACGACCAGCTCGTGCAGAAAAAGTTAATTTTCTAATCGGCCAATCAATCATTTGCCTCTCTACAGCAGAGCAGGAAAAGTTTCAACCCAGATTTTAAAAAAGGCGGATTCAAAATTAAGTAGGAAACCTTTTTGAATGACTGAAATAATCGAGTGCAGCTTTCTGCTTCAACAATTCCAATTTTTCTTGGGTCTCCACTGTACATTACATTTTTTGAAATGCCATCGTGTTTTGTTGTAGTTGTTTTTCTTGTTTTTCAAATATTGCATCATCCAACATCCCCTTGATACATGATGCTGCGGCTATTTTGACAAATTCATGGCACTTTAGTAAAAAAATTCATCTAACTCTCAAAGGTGTCAAAGTAGTGTAACTCCAGCAGCATAAATACATTAGTTTGTGCATCACCAGAGCACCTTATCTTCTTATGTCCAGCATTTCATATAGATAGAAATCAGCTTAGGAGATATTTAAAAGTACTGAAATTCAATGAAGAGACGCTTTCTGAAATCTTAAAGGATCAAGATAAACTGTTGGCCTTATATGATTTCTCATCAAAGATTCTCTCTAAATTGTTCATTCAACTAAACCTCATACAGAAACAAGCTGAAGACCTTGTGCTTTAAATTAATTTTTTACTGATATTTTGTTTTCAATGTCAGGAAATGAATGCGTGTATGCATACATGTCAGATGTCCAGTTGTATTTTGTGGATTGTATTCTCTTTTATTTTTGTCATCAATTTGTGCTTTGTTTCCTGCTTTGAAGGGATTAAATGTCTTTGGTGGGATTTGGGTTGGGTGGGGAGGGGGTTTGGATGTGGAAATCTTGATTGGACCTTGTGAACGCTGAAAAGCAGCAAATAAAGTGTTCTGTTCATTCATTCAAATATTAAAGTAAATCTCGCAGAAAATACATGTGATGCAAAGTGTATATGTGAACTCACGTTGTGGTGGCTGAAGGCACAGCGTGGATCCTGGCCGAAAGGAAGCCAGAGGGACTAGAATTTCTAGGGCTGATGCTTCGACCTGGGCTCGTGCTTGACCCGGCTGAAAGCGGAGGCGAGCTGATCTTCGGCGACCTGGCATCCACGTCGCTGATGCACTGCTGGTCTTCCACTGCACCTCCGATCCTCCAAAACTTGCCTATTTTTGTCAAAGAAAAGAAAACCACGGGTTTATCAGAAAGAGAGCAGAAACTGCCAACAGAATACTGTATAAACAGGGAGTTTCTCGTATTACATCGATTTTTGTGATTTACATTATTAAAAAAAAGACAAGGGAATTTCTCGTAAATTTTCGTTTTCTTCATCGCGATGCCTCGGATATATGATGATGATGATGATCGCGAATTTCGTTCCCTTTCGAAAGAAAGAAGTTTCATTGTTGATCGATGGAATAAAACGAGGTTACAATTTCAGAAAACGCGAAATCCGCAGAATTCATGATTTTCAACAATTTTCAAGTAGTCAACCCCCGCCTAAGGGACTTTTGCCTAACAGACCACCTCTGGAGGCAGTTTTCCTCCTCCCTAACAGACTTCTGTTGGTTTGAAATTTATGGTCAAAAGTAAAATTTTAATTTTTTAATAATTGGATTCACGTAACAGACTTTCGCAAAAATTAAGTCTGTTGCGCGAAGGTTGACTGTAAAATTTTCTCTGTTTGTCTATACTGAAAAGATTCCGCGAATTTAAAATCCCGGGAAGGATGCTGGGAAGAACACCGTGAAAAAAAGAATATTGTTCGATAAAAAAGGATTACCGTAATTGAAAAAAAGCCAAATTCGAAAAATTAGGTTCATTTTTCCGTACTGCACTTCGAAGACTGGCGTTGTTTTCTTGAAGCTCGGACAGGTGTCACCTGAATCACAAAACTTGACGAAATACCTATTTCATTCTAATAGCAGACGAACATAACTTATTATCTATTCCAGCAAAATCGTGAGCTAAGCCAATCAAATTGAACTAAAAATATCGTAAATCACATAACCTGATACAGACGATAAACTAAATTGTCGCATAAGAACATTCAAATGACACTGATAAAACGGAAAACAATTTTAAAAGCGTGGACATGAGTGATTTGAAGTTTTGAACAAAAATAATAACGAAAACGTGATTCAGCTTGAATATTTCAAAAATAAATTATAAAATTTAGGCTCTAATTCTCCGGTTATATACTTCCCGAATAAGTTCAAAACTGATTTCCAAAATATGAGGCAGAGGTCAGCTGAATTCGAAATCCAACGAAAAATTATGTCAACCTGATGATGAATTCGTAATGAAAGCACCAGGTGTGAAAGCTTTTGCAGCACAGTCTAACCAATTATAAAGGGTCAGACCCACTAAACCTAAAAAAAATAGCAAGTGAAACTTGAAATAAAAGAAAACCCCTCGGCGTTGATAAACTTGAAAATAACGAAACCGAGTGGATCCCAACGACATCATCAGGTCAATATTTTTCAGTCTGTTTTTTTTTCTTCACTTCACTGTATAATAGCGTGTCATCAACTATATATACGGTTAATCCCGCAGTTATTACCTCACGACGAAGGCGACGTTAAGAAATCATCTCATTATAAAGGCATCCCGCGGAATTACAGCTTCGAAGAGGACATACAGTTTTCTTTCGTCTCGCCGTTTTTCCTCTCATAACGTGACGTGAAAGTTTTAATAAAATCCAAAAAACCCGGGAGTACGACACAACACGGAAATTCTTGGAGAGGTTCTCGTCCCAACAAGCCAGCGACCCACGTTCCAGCGATAATCGACAAGCCGCTGCTGGTATATAGGGACAGACTCATTACCTTAATTTGCGTTTCCCCTCGCCTCTCCAATTACCGGATGGCGGGCAATTACGCCACGTCGTGGTCTGCATACGTTTAAAGAAAAGCCACCCTCGGCGAGGGATCGGATTCCTCTCGATCGAAGTCCATTCCCTATATATACTGTATAGTGATCAAACTCGGGGGCGGTTTAATGACACACGAGTCATCGCTATTACCTTATCGCTTTTAATTAATCTATTTTATTTTTCTTATCCTGATGCTTTATTATTGTCATTCGGTGTATATATGGGGAATTTAAGGAAGGAACGAAAAGGAGCATCGATGAAGATGCTGAAATAATGGGGGGAAAAACGCGGAAATTCTCGGCGCGCGGAATTATTCGATGGCTATACTCGTAGCTGATGAATCGGGGCTTGTTTGGGAGAACATCTGCCAATATTTCTCAGTTTTTTTTTTATGATCTGCACAGTAAAAGCGAAATTCCTCTCGGCGGGGATCATAAAACCGACCCTTTGGGTATTACAGTATAGCATAGAAAATCGCTAGAGGCTTAGAAATGGTTGCTCTATATTCAAAGATACAGAACGTTTTTTTGTTGTTGTTCTTTTCTGCGCGACATTCCTGAAAATTAATTTTCTACTATCCAGCCAGAGAATAGACATAGAAAAGAAAAATGAGGATTTTTTTGGCACACAAAATTAGCATATTCTGTGAAGGATTCCACAAAATCCTTGCATTTTACTCTCAACTCCAAATAAAGCGTAAAAACAATTGGTTCACGAGAACTCTCTAAACACAACAAGATACAAGGGACCAGAATAATGCTTTTTGAAGAGAATTTCGTTGTAAAGAACGCCTGCAATATGAGGTGAGAACCCTATGAGATCAAAACGAAATTCGTTGTACTATACATATTATAATATTGTTGTCGACAAGTTTGTTGTAGAGAGATTCCACGGTGATGTAATGAGAAAATATGCAGAATTGCAATTCCATATTTGCTATACTTATTTGCTTGTGGCAATACTAAACCATTACTATTTGCATCATCAAACATCCCCTTAATATATGATACTGTAGCTATTTTGACAAACTCATGGCACTCTAGTAAAAAATGCATCCAATTTTCAAAAGTGTCCAATACGTGGTGTGAGCCCTGCAGCATAAATACATTAGTTTGTGAATCACCAGAGCACCTTCTCTTCTTATGTCCAGCATTTCATACTGATAGAAACAAGCTCAAGAAAGATTTACAAATATTGGAATTCAAAGAAGAGACCCTTTCTGAAATCTTAGAAGGATCAAGATAAACTGTTGGCCTTATTTGATTTCTCATCAGATATTCTCTGTAATTTGTTCATTCAAGTAAACCTCATACAGAAACAAGCTGAAAACCTTGTGCTTTAAATTAACTTTTACATATATTTTGTTTCCAATGTAAGGGAATGAATGGGCGTATGCATACATGTCAGATGTCCAGTTGTATTTCATGGATTGTATTTTCTTTTCTTTTTGTTATCAATTTGTGCTCTGTTTCCTGCTCTGAAGTAATTAAATGTCATTGAGTGGATTTGGGTTGGGTGGGAAGGGGGTTTGGTTGTGGAATTTTTGATTGAACCTTGTGAATGCTGAAAAGAGGCAAATAAAGTGTTCTGTTCATTCATTCATTCATACTTATTCAAAACACTTGGATTCTGCTTTAAATTTCGGTCCAAATATGAATCTGACTTGTTTTGTAAAACAATAGTAAAATGTGAGCATGAGTAAGCGTGCTTTTGCAGAAAGAGTTCTGGGGAAAAAGCACGATGAAAATCAAACAATTTATACGAGTATACATAGGCCCTGCGTTGACCTCAAAAACTTTGATTATTCTTGAAGAAATTGGCTTCTTCCTTTTAAAATTCCGATTTCATTGAAGGAGCCAGTCCCACTTTAATATGCCCAACATCCAGGAGTTCTTGGATCATTTCTGAGGCGTAAGCCTGAATTTTGCTATTAATTTTTTTGGGGTCAAAGCTGGGTTATGTTTACTTTTTTTCCATGATTCCGGGTTAAATTCGATCTCGCTCAAGTTCTTTTGGGCGGTTTATTGATTCAGGCGACATTCATCTGCTATTCTACGAATCACTCGTTGTTATAGATACGTATAAATAGAAAAGGGACAGAAGAATATAACTGAAACTTATCGGCAGATTTTAACGTTTTAGGAATTTGATTCTCATCTTCTGAACGCCTGACATTAATATCTTTATGAATTTCTCCGTCAGTACAAGAGTATATACAGTATAACCTTCTTTCAGAAAGAATTGGAGAGGTTCAACTGTACTGCAGTTTTCAAATACAAGATAGTTCTCAAAATTCTCCGGCGATATTCCAGGAAAGACCACACACATGATTCTACAGCAAGCAGTACTGCGTCGTCGTGACTTACTTACAAAAACATTGACGTAAAAACTCATCAAACAAACGACTGGAATCCTCGCAAGAAAGAAAAGACGAAGGTAAGAAAGGGAAAAAAACCTGGTGTCGACGAGAGAAACGAGGCCGACACTGAGACGACGGCAGAGAAAATAAGGCGATGACGACGATTGTATCACCCACCCATCGCCAGATCTTTCCTTTATTTATTTTTTTCACACGCACACAATGCCGACCTTGTTTTGCGTCTCATTCCGAGGACATCGGCAAGGAAAATGAGTAAGCAGCAAGAATGAATACCAAGCCCACAAGACACCATCAGCTCTGTCACTCAGAATTTTATATGTTTTTTTTACTTATTTTTTTTAGAAAAAATAATTCATTTGACATTTCACAAGCGAATGACATTCCTGAAAATTTCGCAAAAATTCGTCATGCAAGGAGAGATTTCGATTTGACCATCAAGATTCTTGAACCATAAACGTCGAAAATAGCATTGGAATTCAATGGAGACGCATTTCAAGAGATTATTTTTGCGAAATTGAAAGGGCATTAGCGTGTAATAAATATTTTATTGGCAACATAGAAGCGTGGATAATTGAGGTTTGATTCAAGAAATCGATTCAGTTTTCAAATAAAATAAAAATTACTGGCGTGAGCAATAAAATATGACTAAGGGCGATTGGGGTGAAAAAAAATTTATTCCATCGATATTGGAATAATATTAGCTTGCAGAAAGCTTTTTGGAATCCGTGCATGCTATTCTGCCAAAATCAAATATTTCAGGAACTTGCGGAAGTGTCACTTATTTGCGCAAACACACATATGCTAACATATTTTTCAATATTTACGTAAAGAAAGATATGAACATAATACATTTTACTGAATAATTTTTATATTCCTAACATTAAATGAGACTTTTCAAAAACTTTTCAACTAGACAGAAGGAATCAGAATAATATGCCTTTATAGAAATGGCAAATCCCCTGAAAGGCGTTCAACATTTTTCAAATATAAAGTTAATTTGCAAACTTTTCAAGAATTTCAAAAGTTTTACGAAGTTTTCCACGAAAAATGAATTTTCTGTGCGGAATTTTTTCCTCTTAATAAAAGGGAGCAACTAAAATTGTTTGTGCAATAATCGGCGCGTCTCGGGACGCGCCTACAGCTGCTAGCAAACCCCTTCACAGGGCAGTAAAATTAAACAAATTGTGCCAAGTCGGCAAAACTGCCAATAAAATAACAAAAATACAAACCCATCTCTGGGTAAAAGACCTAAA